CGCATACAATGTTGTGCCGAAGCGCACATTGCGCGAGTACCTGCAAATGCATCAAGCGAAAAATGCGAAAGCAAACAAACACACGAACACACCATTCACACGCAAATGCATTCGCACGCGCATACTCGTACAAACAGACGGCAGGATGTCGTGCAATGTGCATTTGCACCCAACATCAGTTGCTCCAGCCGCTCGTCTAGCCGCTGAGCCAGTTGCTCCAGTTGCCAGTGTGCCAGTTGCTCCAGTTGCCCGTGTGCCAGTTGCTCCAGTTGCCCGTGTGCCAGTTGCTCCAGTTGCCAGTGTGCAAGCAGCTTCAGCCGCCGCCCACCACTTCCTCTCCTCTCATGGTCCATTCTCCTCCTCACTTGCCCTCTTATTCTTCCGCTGCACCTGGTGCACCCCTTCAGGGGGTGTTTCTGCACATGGTTGTTTGCTGCAGGCAGTTAGGGGGTGTTTCAAATAATATATATTTGTATTAACTGCCTGTAGCATAACATAGTGTAGTTATCTTGCTTGTTAGGTGGTGCACCTTTCTTCTCATGCTTGTTCTTTCCTATTTGTACCCTTGAGCCTATAGTGAAACCCCTCTCTTTTGGCCAAACTCTCTCGACATTGTGGTTTCACCCCTAAACCCTAGTCCTAAGTTATCTTAGGATTCTAACACATCCTCGACTCCGCAATGCCCCACGTTCAGGAAATCACTGTACACCTTGTGCAGCTTGGGGTAGCGGTTGGTTCCAGGTTCGAGCAGCGGGAACGGTTGGTGGCTCAGCGCAGCCTCGGGGCAGACGGTGCAATTGCGGGGATGTGTCGCGGCGCTCATTTCGGAGCCATCAGGGCGCAGGAGTGCGCCAGGAGCGAAGACGCCAGCGTCGATGCAGTTTTTCAGCGTCGCGCGGGAAGGATGTCCGAGGCGCTGGTGCCAGAGTGCATCGTCAGCGCGAAAGCCGGAGGTGCGCATATAGCGTGCACGTGCTTCCTCAGGGTCTTCGTCAGGTGCGGGAGCAGGTTCCGCTGCTACTTCCTCTGCTTCTTCTTCTTCTGCCGCGGTAGTCAGCATCAGTGCCAAGAACTCTCTGTCGCGAATTTCAGAGAGCGGGATGTTGGTCCCAGGGATGGTTCCAGGGACGAGAGTAGGCTCGCGTGGCTCAGGGGCAGGTCCGTAGACGGTGCGACGCGGGGTTGACGGCTCGTTGCCCCAGATGATGGTGTCCCACGGGTCGCGATGCGGGGGAATGTCTGCAGGAGGTGGTGCGAGCGGGATGTGGCGCGGGGGACGACCGAGAGGAACGACTCCAGGTGCTGCTTCGGTTTCCTCAGCTTCGTCCTCTTCCCCCCTTCGTTCTTCGCGGGAAGTGCCCCAGCCGCTGTCTGCGGCGGTAGGTGCGGCGCCCCATCCGCCGCTCGCGTTGGCCCAGGTTCCGCCGGTGTTGCCCCATCCGCCAGTATCGCTGGTTCCCCATCCTCCAGCGCTTCCCCACCCCCCTTCATTGGAGGCACTTTCTTCCTCCTGGGCTCCCCAGGCGGCGCAAGCGAAGGTCCCGCGGGCTTCCGCGAGGCTTTGCTGGCGAAGCTCCTCGGCTTCGCGGCGCGCCAGTTCTTGCTCTTGCTCCACGGTGAGTTTCCCCGAGAGGTCGAGCCGGTGAGGGTACACCTTCCGGAATTCCTCGAGAGTGTAGGGACGCGGAACTCCTCGTGAGTCCAAGCTTCCGTGGCGTTGTCCGCGCAGGATATTGTCGAGCCGCTGGGAGGGAGGTCCAGCGTGGGGGCTTTGGTCGGTGCCGAACACGCGACGAGTCGTCTCCTCGACCTCGAGCTGCGACATCCCTTCTTCTGGTGGCGCGTGGCGCTCTGCTTCAGCGATGGCGGCGAGTCCGCGGCCCGCAATCGCGCTTGTGGAAAACGTCGTCGGCGTGTGGCAATCCCTGCATATGCCGTCGGGGTCGGGGTTGTGTAACGCCGTTTCGCGTGGGTGAGGATGATGCGGCACCCACGGCCTGCCGTCAGGGTGCTTCCAGTCCCTGCGGTGGATGTGCTCGAAGCGTAGTGGCACGAGGTCAATCAGCTCGTGCGAATCGCCGCTGCAGTCGGGGATGTCGAAGTCCAGGACGTACACTCCATTTTCGGAGTGTGCTCGTCCGATCTGCCTGCGGGGGAAGTTGCGCGCTTCGTAGTGCAGCAGGATATCTCGCGTTTCGCGGTCCGTGCTGAGGTCGACGCCGCAATCCATGAGCTGTGCGGCGGACAAGAGGTTGAAGCGCAGGTTCTGGACGATCAGCACATCGTTAAGCGTGATGTGCGTGCGGCTTCCGCGTGCTTTGAGCACGACGATGCCTTGCGCGCTTGCGCGCAGGCGCGTGTTGTTCGCCACAGTGACGTAAGTGACGGCAGGGGTGGCGACGGCGTTGGATATGTAACGCTCGGAGCCCACCATATGCTGGCCGCAGCAGCTGTCCAGGTACCAGGTGTTGTAGCGCTTGTTGTCGTCACGTGCGAGCAGCGCCAGTCGCGGCGTGACGATGTGCGGAGTGTCGAACTTCAAAAATTGTTCGCGCGTGAGCCAATCGAGTGGCGCCACCCGCATATCAGGTACGTGCGGGGGACTTTCAAGCAGCGGGACTGGAAGATTCCAGTCCTGGTCGTCGTCGTCGGTGAAGTCGCGGCGCGGACTAAACGGGTTGTTGTTGGTGAACGCGCCAATTGGGTGCGGTGCCGGCTCAGGTGACGGTGAGCGAACGCGGCGACGACGCGACTCGCCTGTCATGGCCATGCTGCTCATGACGTTGCGAACTTGGGCAGTCGAGGACGGCTGCTGCTGCTGATGCTGAACTGCTGGGTTCAGGTTGCGCGCGAGAGGGTTCTGATACCCTTGGGCTGGACGCACGTCGCCTCGTGCGTCTTGACGGCCGGACCAGGTGCTCGGATTGGTCTGGCGAGGGCGAGATCGGTTCTTGCATCGATCCGCCAGATGCCCGAAATTTCTGCAGATCTTGCAGTAGAGGCGCCGTGGCTTTCGCTCTTCGGTGTTGTCGGCGTAGAAGGCGAGCCGTTCGCGTTCTCGTCGTGGCGCTGGTCGCTGCTGGTCCATATCCCTTTGTTCGACGAGAAGGGCGGCGCAAAGGGCGGCCTCCGAGATGACCCCCTGCTGTCGGAGTGACGCCTTGCAGGGCCGCCACTCTGGGCCAAGCCCTTGAAGCACGATGTTGACGAAGATCTCCTCTGAAATCGTGCTTCCCAGCTTCACGATTTGGTAATTGTTGACCTTCTCCCCTGCGGTCATCTTAGTTTCCAGGAGTTCCTGGAGTAGTCGGCTCGAAGAGACAGAGTCCTTGGGCTGGTAGACTCCTGTCAGGTGCCGCCAGGCGTTAAGGGCTGGAGCAGCCGAAGTTTTGTAAGAACGAATGTTGAGCTGCTCCGCCGCCGACATGTTCCGCAGGAGCACCCCGTACGCCATCAGCGACTCGTTGTAATACCGCGCCTTGGCGTCGTCGGTGTCCTCAGCAGGCTCCGCGTAGCTCCCGTCGAAATAGTGGAAGATCTGTGCGTTCTGAAGCAGTAGCTCCAACTCGAAGCTCCAGGTGTAAAAGTCTCTGCCGTCAAAACAGGTACTTGTCTTTATTTTTGATATGCTGAGAAACCTTGATTGAGCGGAGAGAATTGCCTCTTCACTGGGACGGGGAGTCTTGGGGGTTGAGCCATTGGTGTCGAGGGAGAATGTTTGCGGGGTGGCGTTCTGGCTAGTCGGTGCCAGTTGAGAGGGTTGCGAGGATGTTCCCGCGTCGCCGTTCCGCAATGTTTGGAGTCCTTGCTCCAAGCTGGTGAGTCGCTGAAGAAGTTGTGCGAGAACTTCGGAGTTGATTGTCGTCGTGTTCTCGCTTGTCGCAGCCGGGTTGGTGCGAGCTTCAGCCGTCAGATTAGTCTGACCACCAGATCCTCCGGCCATCTTCACTCGTGAGCGTGTGCAGGACGTCACTTTCCGAATGTCGCAATTTTCGGGAGTGGCAGTGCGAAGGATTCCCGAGCCGCTCTCATACCATGCTGCGATCAGAAGTTGATCGTGGCCTAGGATCTACTCAGGAAGGTTCGCACGTAGTGAGATAGTTTGGTGGGCCCTTGACCTCAATAGCAGAGTGAATGTAAAATGCTTGAGATGAATTAAAACATGCAAAACAAGAAATATAAATATGAGTACAAGGGAATACGAAACGACCTAACTAGCCATGTACTCTAAGGGGTACATTCCCTTATTCAAATACATTCCCAACCGTGCGGCGCGTACAGTTTCGTAACTGTTCCCGCCAAAACCACCTTGCCTGCAGCTGCCCGATGCCGTCTGCTCCGACGGTCCAGATGCGTCCCAACTGTCTGACGCTTCGAGTCAATTCCAACCGTCTGACGCTTCGCGTTCATTCTCGTTACTGCGTGCTTCTCTTGCTGCGGTGAGGAGTGCACAGTATCATCAAATATTACTATTCGTAACACATTTGTTGCTAATTGTTTTTAGAAACTGAAACCAAGGCAATTAGCTGTACAGGGCAGATCCAGACATTATAGACAAGGAATGTACTTTGCTAGCAATAACGAGACATAGATGTAGTCTCTTGACTTATCAATTTCCTGATTCATCTTTTGTACATACTCTTGCACAGAATGATGCAGCGGATCTCAATAGCGAGAGAAGTTTCTTTGCGCCCCTTCTCACATCCACCCGCACTTGGCGGATCGCTCCAGCCTTTCGTCCCGTCTACCCTTCGAATCGCTGAGCCTTGCGATGCATGCAACCTCGCGACTCACGGGTGACGACTAGGTTCCTTACGAATGTGCGACACTTCTAGGGAACCTGAACCCTAAGCACACGGCGACAGTCTCGAAAGATCGATACTCACAGGAGGTAGCAGCCTGTACTTCTAATCAGCAACTCCCCCCTTTTTTCCTTATCTCCGACGGACCTTCTCGAGCTCAAGCAGTCAGGACTCTTTTGCTTGCAATCGAAGTGAAACATGGCGCCGTTGCTTCTACTCGTGGTCGTGGTTGTGAACGCGGCGTTCTCGGAGGCCGCAGGAGTGTCAGCAGCAGCGTCAGGGCGTGCGAGGGAAGCGGCAATTCCAGTGTTCGCTACGGGCAGCGAGGGAGCCGCGAGGCGCGCGCGAGACGAGATTGCTTTTACTGGTCAGTAACTCGTGAATCTCTCGCGCGGGAGAGGAGAGCGTGCCTTTTAGTCGCCTGTAAGGCAGCGACAAAACCGTGCGAGGGGGGAGCGCATCAGCTGGATTGTCGCCTCGCGAGCGCGCGCATGCGACTGCTTGCAGTCATAGCCGCCCGCGAAGGCGCGGCGAGTTGATTCTTTGCCAAACCTGGCACTGCCTGGGTTGATATAACATTTTAGTACTCAACTCTAGTGCGTAGGTCGTAAAGGTGCATGCACGCTGCCTCCCTCCGTGCCCGCCCGTCTGCATGTAGCTTGACAGTCGCCTGCGTACCAGAGGTGCTTTCCGCTTTGCAGTCGCAACCAGAGTGCAGAAACTCAGGTCAAGCATGCCGTTCTCGCGACCGTCCCTCACTCTCCGCTCGCTTCTCCTCTCTTCCCCTTGCGCCGTCCCTCGCACCCTCGCCTCGCCCACCCTCAGTGCAGACAGCATGGCCATCGAAACCGTTCGTGCTCTCCTCCATGGCGCCGCTGCCGGATGGCCGCCACGTGGCGGTCGCGGATAGAGTCAACCACACTATCCTCAAGATTGAGCTGCCTCTCTCCGCCAGTACGCGTCTCTATCCCCTCCTCCTCATTCCGCTCACTCTCTCCCGCTCCTTGCCTTCTCAGTCTGTCCCCTCTCTTCCGTTTCCTCTCTCCTTATCACCTCTGCAGTTGTTCTCACTCCCTCCGCCCTCTCCCTCCCTTTCGTCCTCCTCCCTCTGCTGCCTCTGTCGTCCGTCTTCCCCCGCCGCGTCACCTCTCCTCTCCCCAGCGTCCGCCGTGTCTGTTCTGGCTGGGAAGAACGGCACGAATGGCTTTCATGACGGGCCGGGGGAGGAGGCGCTCTTTGACACGCCAACGCACCTGGCGGCCGACTGCCAGGGGAATCTCTTTGTGGTGGACCGCAACAGCTACCTGCGAGTTATCTCCCCACAGGGTAGGGCTCGTGAGGGTCCTCAAATCGCGGCGTCGTCTCCCCACAGGGTGGGGCGAATGAATTTGATGTGATAACACTGGACCGGAGAGCATGATGATTGTATACTGTGCGGTAGACTGCGAAACACACCATATTTTATCACCCCTCTCCACGTTCCTCCTTCCAGTATCAGTCATTTTCTCAATTATTTGCCTCCTCTTTTATATGTATACACTTAGGAAAATACTTCTATTGCTCCTTGCTTTGCATTGGACCCCTCATCTTCTCCCCATCTCTGCCACAAGCTCTCCTCATCTTTCTCATCCATGTACCCCACGTCTCCCCGCCCTCTTCCCTCTCCGTCACTTCCCAGGCGACGTCACCACCATCCGCAGCAGCAGCAGCAATGTGTCTCATCTCGCCCCTCCGCAGCCGCCATTCATGCACTTGGACTCCAAACCGCACCACGCAGATCCGGCAAAGCTGGGCTCTGGTGTGTCGGGCATGTGGTATAACGCCAGTAGCGGCGTGCTCTATGTCGTGGACACTGGCAGGCAGAGGATCGCTGCCTTCGCACCTGCACCTGCACCTGCTGCTGCTGCTGCTGGTGTAACCGGGAATGCTGCCAGTTATGTTGCTGTGACAATGGAGGCTGCAGGGGGGGTTGGTGCTGCCAGCAGTGGAGTCTCGTTTGGCGGCGTTGCAGGGATCCCTGGGTGCTTGTGCAATGCCAAGAACAGCTCGGGAGGAGGAGGAGGGCATGATGGTAGAGACCGTTGTGGGCTTGGCTCTCGGTTCTGTGTCTGTCCTTACCTGTCCTGCATAGCATGGTGCCATCATGCTGTCAGTGCCAGTGCATGTCGTAGCCATGGCAGTAGCATGGCCGCATGTGTGGTGCGCATGGGTAGTACAGGCACCTGCTTGCTCCCGTTCCATGCCTCTGTCCATGCTCCCGTGTGCGTTCCCCCTTTACATTTATCCATCTTTGTCGTGCTACATGTCTTGTTGCTCACCTCACATCCCATAACCGCTTGCATCCACTGCTCCCTTCTTCTTTCCCGCGCCCCTGCCCATCCTGCGCATACCCCATCGTTCGTGCGTGCCCCACTCCCTGCGAGTCAGCTCCGCCGTCCTCCCCATGGCACGTAACGTGGCGAGACACGGAGGTGGCAGGGGGTGCGTTTGCGGCTGGTGTACTGTGTGCTCATGGCAAGGCGGTTTTCACAGCAGCAGCTGCCGGCACGTCCCACGTGAGTGAGACCACGCCACGCATCTGAGTGCCCGCCCTCCAATGCCCGCCCTCCATGCCCACCCCACCATGCCCACCCTCTTTTCAGCCCACCGTTTCTCTCTTGCCCCCCTCTTTTCCCCTCCCTCGCCATGCTCACTTGCAGCATATTCTCCTAACCCTGTGTGCGAAAATACTGCGTTCCAAACATTACAGTGTTCTAGCCACCCGTCAGTCCTCCGTTGAGATTCACACCTTTCCATTCCTTTTCCTTCAACTAAACCACCTCCCCGCCCTCTTCTCATCCTCTCCCCTGTCATGCCCGCACCCCTCTCTGCCCCTCTCTCTGTGTCTCTCGTGCAGCTGGGCTCCGCGCTGTCTCTTGTCATCCATCGCATCGCATCCACAGCGCTTGCAGTGCTCACCTCACTCTCCACCCTTCTTCACTTTTGAGGCGCCTCAAAACTCACTCTCCACCCTTCTTCACCCCTCTCTCTGTGCCACTCCTGCAGCTGGGCTCCGCGCTGTCTCTTGTCATCCATCGCATCGCATCCACAGCGCTTGCAGTGCTGCTGCTGCTCTTCTCCCTCCCTAGTCGCTTCATGCAGCAACCGCAGAGTACCGAGTCTGACAACACCACCAGCAGCAGCGCCACCAGCACCAGCACCATGCAACGGCCCCTCGTCTTGCACGCTTCCGCCAACCAGCAAGGAGGAGGGCAGCGGCGGGAAGAGGAGGGGGGTGTGCCCTCCAAGGCCTCGCTCCTGTCACTTGTGTGGCCTTTCAGATCATCTGCAGCAAGTCCTGAAGCCCCTGCTGCAGCAGAGGAGAACGAGGAGAGTGGGCTACTGATTAGCTTCTCAGACGAAGAAGAGGATGATGATGTGGGGGATGGCCAGGCAGAGGATTCTCCTTCCATTGCCAGTCGATATTCTCATCCTCCCCGCGCTCCAGCAGCCTCGGATTTACCTGTTTCCTTTGGCACCTTGCAGCCGCAAAGCAGCGCAGAACTGCCTGCTACTATCTCTGCCGCTGCTGCTGGTGATTTCCCTGGTGCGAATGGTGGCAGCATTGAATCCCCACCAAGGGCCATGACAGGCATAAAATTCGATCATGCTGTTGCCTCAGGTGATGCTGCTTCTGCTGCTGGAAGCACAGGTGGTGCGGCATTAGGGAGCCAGGGGAATAACACTGCTTCTTTGCCGTTTGCTGCTGATCAAGCCCCCCCTGCTGTGGCCGGAGCTGCTCCTGCTGATGCTTTTGGCAAGCTTGTGAATGAGCAGGTGGTGCACACATGGGTAAGGGAAAAAAGACAGTGACCACAGGTGACGTTTCATTTTGGATAACCATAGAATTATCATATCATACCGTAGTCAAAGGTCTGATTAGTCTAAGTTACTGGGCTATGCACATACCAGGCCCAGTGTTGGGATAGGTGTTGCATTAGTATGGCTTTGCCATGCTAAGACAACTACAAGAACGTAGTTGTTGTGTACCTGCCAAATGATACGCTTTACATATGCATTTGTGACAGTGCTTCAGGTTCGGATGAATGTCTGGTACATCTTTCTTTCTCAGAGTTGGTTGGGAACATGGATTAATGTTTCAGACTGAGAGCGCCTCAGTGCTCCTGAGACCAGCTGTATGTAGTAAGAGTACCTTATATACCCGGTACTAAGTAATAGTGTGAATACACAAAAAAAAACAACACGGTAAGCTGCTTTCTCCTCTAGAACCTAGCTCCTTGCGTCATAGCTGCAAGAGCAGCACCTAGCATAGTGCACGCGACACGATGACCCCCAACCCAGTCAGCAGCTTGGCATGCCCTGGAGCAGTACTTGGCCTCCGTGCACGCAGCACAACACCGGAACTCATGCTCCCTCGTCTCCTGCCGCCCACACTGCGGGTTGGAGCAGGCGTGCAGCACAGGGGATGTACCGGTAGCAGCCGGGGCAGCAGGGGCCGTGGGAGAAAGGTCAAATGCAGCTGCCACACCATGGGAGGGAAGGGCTGGTATGTGGATGCTATGGGTGTTAGAAACTATGCCATTAAGCTTCTGCCATTCCAGCAGGAAAAAGTGGGCGGGATCTGTGGGACGGCAACTCTCGTCTTCTTGCAGCTCCATTAGTTCGGCGAGAGAGGGAGAGCTAGGTTCCCACTCCTTACTGTCTAGGCTATGCATGTCTGTGATGTTGTCAGTGGTGGTGGCATCCGTGGAAGGAGCAGACACACGAGCAGCAGGGTCGACGGATGCTGCTTCAGCATCTGCGCCAGCACCTGCTTCTGCTTCTGTTGCTGCTGCTCCTGCTGGTGCTGCTTCTGCTGCTGCAGATTCTTGGGATGACTCGGCAGGAGCAACGTCACCACACCCTTCGGCCTTTGTAAGCACGCTCTGCAATTCTCCCGATTGAAGAATCTCACGTGCAAAAATCATATCCGCCTCCTCCTGCGCCGCACTGCCCTCTTCCTCCTGCTCCTCCCTGTCTTCCTCCCCCTGCTCCTCCCTGCCTTCCACCCCCTGCTCCAAACGAGAGCCGTCCACGCCGTCACCACCGCGCACCTCTGCGGGCTTCGAGCCGCCCTGCACGACGCCATCAACACGGGCTTTCTCCGCCGTTTCAAGGGCCTCAGCCTCTAGCAGCAGCTGTTGCGCTTGGGCCGCGTCTCGTGGTAACCCGTAACCATCGTGCAGGCAGTACCCCAGTTCGCGCATAGCAGGAGTGTGGCCGAGAGATGCCGCTCGCGCGCAGAGGGCTAGCGCCACGGGGAGGTTCCGCTGCGCTTGCGCCATGCCGCTCCCGTTGAAGTGAACCACGGAGAGCGCGTACATGGCCGCCGCGTGTCCCGCAAGCGCCGCCTTTGCTAGGAGCTTCAGCCCCTCGGCGTAGTTCCCGAAGCTGTAGAACGTGATCATGCCGAGGAAGTACGCAGCGGGCGCGTTCCCCGCGGCGGCGCACGCGGAGAGGAAGCGGTTGGCGCGCGGAGACCACTGGGACGCGCGGATGTGTAGCACGGCGGGGCTGACCGCGGCTAGCGCCTGCTGCGACCAGCAGAGTGCTCTCAAGGCGCGACAGCTGTGGGGGGAGAGAGGGGGGGCAGGGAGAGAGAGGGGTAGAGGGATTGAGAGGAGGCCATACGCGGAGACGGAGTGAAAGCGAGAGAGAAAAGGTTTAGGAGAGGGGAGGTAAGTAAAGAGGAGAGGAGAGGTGGGTAACGAGGAGAGGGAGAAAGGAGGAGGAGTAGATTGAGAGTACAAGAGAGAGGCAAGAGAAAGGGGCCAAAGCGAGCCTCATGGCTGGAAGGCCTGACGGACCTGAGCATGACGTTGCCGATTTGAGCAGGAAAGTGAGCGCGAGAGACGACTTTATCCATGATGACTCGCAGGATATCCGACGGTAGGTCCAGTAGCGGGCTCGCCGTGCTCTCCTGTGACGCCATTGCCATTGCCACTCCGACGCAGCGTGTGTCCGACACACGAGCTCGCTTCGCTGCTGGCACCGCCGCCGGAAGCGCGAGATCCGCGTCTCGGTGGCGTGGCGCGGCTTGGCGAGAGGTTCCTGGACGGTAGGGAGGTCTCACGGCCCTGACGGCATTGCCCGCAGCGGGAGACCTGTGAAGATATTCCCGAGGCCCGGCAGGAGTGGGAGCAGCGGACGCGGAGGCATCTTCAGCTCCGTTGCGAGTCGTTGGCAGGCCCGTTGGCTGGCTGGCGACATATTGGGGCGCGGGAGACGACTGTGCGACCGGCGCAGAGGATTGATACCAGCGCGCGAGATCGGGCGACAGGTTGTGCGACCCATGAGCATGATCGCACCGCAAACCGTGCGACTGGAGGATAGCGGAGTTGAAGAATGTCGAGGGAAGGCTGCTCGTGCACGTCCGAGTGGACACGATGCCACCAGCAGCCGCCGGCGACGCGTCGTAAAAGTCGTGGAGAGAAAGAGCGGTGGGGTGTTCCGTCGGCAGACGAAGAACGGCCATGGGTGACATAATGATGGAATAGTGATGTAATCGACGGTTCACTGGGAGATGGTAGGGGAAACTAGAACCCGCCTGAGTGTGGCAGCGGGATTCGGACGTGAGAAGAGGATCGTGAGCTAGTTAGCTCCCTGTGTCACGGCGCGCGTCGGCGTGTTAGACCGCACTGGAGCATGTGATGAGTTACGGGCTCGAGCTCTGTTGGAGATGGTGTGCCTGGTGGACGCAGAAGGCCTCAAGAAGGGACGATGCGCGAAGCAGTGGTTTTCGGGGAATGCAGTTGTGAAAGACACTGAGTATAGTGGGCTTTTACACAGCAGTGAAGAATGCTAGTTCTCTACACGGTTATGAAGGCCGAGGATCAGTCCGTGGAACTCCTACCGTTCCTGCCATTGCGGCTCGTACGGAGCAATGGTGCGCGTGTATGGATTTGGGGGGGGATACAGAGAGAGTGAGGGAGTGACACGAGACGGGTGGAGTGGAGATCGAGAGGTACGTATGACGAGAGTGATCAACGGTTCTGTTATGTCGGTCTGTAGTTAATAGTACTCACTGTAGTTGAGTGGAGGGATTTGATGGAGCGTTTTGCTCTGGGTTCAGAAAGGACAACGGTTTTGGCCTTGAGCGCATCGAGGAGAGCTAGTATAAAATTCCGGCTTTGTGAATGAATGCGGTAGTGGCAGAAACGTACAGTTTGGTACAGCTGCACTTCGCCTTTCTTCCGAAGGGCGATGGAAGAGTCAGGGCAGCCGTGCGCATGAATGGCTGGAAGAACTGTACATTCCAGCTAGGACTGGGTGTCTCAGGTTGAGCGCGTGCCTGCCTACTGTACGAACGCCATCATGCCATTCCGGATATGGCTTATTTCTGTACTGGTTGCGATTACACATGATTTCCATTGAAGTCCTACATACTTTTGGGTATTTTAGGTGTTTAACGCGCCGGTCAACACTCGCCACAAGTAAAATTGGGTTTGAGAATAACACAAGAGAAAGATGGTTGACTGTTTTGCGTAACAATTTCGGGATACAGATTTGGTGTATTCCGCGCTGCGAGGTAGCTGCGGCTGATATGTTCCACACTTTGCCATCCTTTCTTCGCAAGGTGGCTCGGCGGGTCTGTAAACCGCAAAAGTCACAAAGGCTCTGTACAAATGAGAAGAAATTCAGTTTTAAAAGCAGATGTGCGTGTAACAGGTGAGCATCGGGTGTAAATTCGAGCTTGCCCACGCGATCTTTGTTCGAGACTCACTCTTCCTAGCTGTTGTGGTCTAGCTCAAACCCTGACGAGAAGATCCGCTGATGGTTGGGGGTGGTGGCTGAAGGGGGGGATGGATGGTTGGTGGTGACAGTTCACCTGCAGCAAAGCCCATGACGGCCAATTTCGATGTCACAACGATTTCTGGCCTCGGCCTTTGGACGGTGAGAGAAAAAAATCGTCTATCATTCCGTGCGAGCTGAGAAAATCTGTACTGCTAGGAATAAACGGCCATTTTCAGGTGCATGCAGCTTAGTCGAGACGCGTTATTCAGGTGCATGCCAGGTTGCTTACACTTTTCTCAGGTTAAAAAATGTCTCTCGTAAATTAACACGCAGTTCAAGATTCGATTAAAATTGGCACAAAAGGTCTGAAATAGATGCAATTTCGGGCTACGCAAATTGGAATCGGAATGGTTGGCTCTCGATGCTGCATTTTCTGACGTAACTCAGTGTAATGATTGCATTCTGTCCAATTCATACGCAAATTTCTGCATGCACCTGAAAATGGCCGTAGGAATTTAGCCCCAAACAACACATGATACTTTTCGATGTACTACAACCACTTAGGCGAGATACTGTATCTCGCATTCCTCCATCTCTGCGTGTATCTTGGGCAAGCTGGGTCCCTATCAAGTGGGCTCAAATGCTGAAACTATCTTCTACCCAACCGACACACAAAGGAATGAACAGCAAAAATGTAAGTCGCGCATGCTCTGCGTTTGAAAAGTATCTCCCGAACTTGGTGGCAGTTCATGAATGAGTCGAGAAGTGCGGGTTTGTCAAGTGGTGCTCGTTGACGATGCGGAGATCCGATGACACGCAGCAACGAAGTTTCTTTGATTCGAAGCGTAAGGGCGCCACAGACGGAAACTCAAATCAAAGATCCGCTGTAACCTAGGATCTGATACGTAGTCAGGCTTCTGCCGTTAGTGATCGGTATATAAATTTCCGAAAGAAGACAATTACATGTTTCACAACCCCTGCGAACAACGATTTGCTAGGGAAATAAACCCCATCCGACCTAAACAAATACATAAACGTGGAAATCGATGATATTGTTACACTTCGCGCATTGAAAAAAACGTTCCGTCCTGGAATTTTCTTCGTCCTCTTTGTCGTGTCACGGTCAACAATCCTGCCAGAAGCTGGGCCTGTAAATATAGCAATCTGGAAGCTGGCCAATGAGATACAAAAAGAACCTTCTGGAAATTCTCGTGGCTGTAAAGTATTTCCCGCACGCCGTCACATCGGCTTTCTGCCGACACCAACGCATTTTGTCCCTTGCAGAACGGGCGTTTGGGACAGCTTGAATGCTATTTATGGGGCTACAAAGGGGAAATGTACAAGAAGTTATTTACCAAAGCATCAGAGCATTACAGCAAAAGGATCAGAGCATTATAGCCTGACAATTTTGCCTAGTTCTTAATACGGTTCAAGAATTTTATTCAAATCATAACTTGTATTAATTATGAGCTAATGGTACATTTCAAATCCTGGCCAAACTTCTGGTTAGTCGTCATTACGATCGTGTAAAATTTCTTGTCATTCGTGTTAAATTCAAACTAGACAAGCGACACCGCCCAGGAGTCTTATTAAAACCTGTAATGTACACTAAGGCTCGTATGAATGTCATCCAACTAATAATGGCATTCAGGTTAATTGTAGATAATTAACGAGCCCCGCGAAGTTGTACGAATAGATCGTCGCTATGTGAGTGTAAGTAAAACCAGCTGAATGCGATATCGTCAATACACATCTGAACGTCGCCATCCTTTTTAGACGTCAATGTGAAGGCATGCCGGACTCGATGGTGATTTAAAGGTTGTATGTATCTGCATTTGGGTGCTACGCCATGTGCATGTCTTCGTGAAAGATGTCTGTGTCAAATGTTGAAACATATATGCCCCCAAAAATCATGGAAAAACATCTAGATTACCCTGATTCGAGGATGGGCTCGAAGATTTTCCTTGAAATTAACATTATTTTTACCACTATAGTGCACAGGGTTTCGTGGAATTAATAAGCCTTTCTCAACGCATATGCCCCCCCTCTTGCCCTTTCTTCTTCCTCGTCCTTCCTCCCACGTCCCTGCAGGTGCAGCTGCTTCTCTCCTCCTCCCCCTCTGTTCTCCTCTGTCTGTCCCACCCCACCACGCCCCTCCTGGGCGTGGGTGGGCAGGGTAGCAGACCACAGCACCTCGCCTGTAGCAGCTGAGAGACAATGCACCTCCGATGATGCTGCTGCTGCTGACGCTGATCCAAGCAGGACCGCCACTCGGTCTGGTGAGGAACCGTCAGTGGCCTGAGGGGGGCAAAGGGGGACGAAAAGCCGGAAGGAAAGACGCCAGAAGAGTGGGAGATTGAGACCATAGGGACAGGGAGGATTTGTTGTGAGATGACTGATTAAACAAAACTGATGGCACAAGATCACTCACATCACCGGGGTAATCGACAGTCACATTCCCTGCAGCAGCAGCGGCGGCGGCAGCAGCAGCAGCAGCAGCAGCGGCGGCTGCAGCAGCAGCAGCAGCAGCAGCAGCAGCAGCAGCAGCAGCAGCAGCAGCAGCAGCAGCAGCAGCAGCAGCAGCAGCAGCAGCAGCAGCAGCAGCAGCAGCAGCAGCAGCAGCAGCAGCAGCAGCAGCAGCAGCAGCAGCAGCAGCAGCAGCAGCAGCAGCAGCAGCAGGCGTGAGCGCATTTTGAGAAGCGGCCTGTGCCTATAGTGGATACTTCGTAGCGAGAAGCGGCCGGGTTGAAATAGTGGTATACCACCCAGTTCTCTGCCATTACCTGCCCAAAAATAGAGGAGATGAAACAAAAAGACGAGGACAGGATGAGTGAATGAGGGGTTGGGGTGGTATACCACCCAGTTCTCTGCCATTACCAGCCCAAAAATAGAGGAGATGAAAATAGAGGAAAGGATGAGCACAGGAGCCATGTCTGGTTCGGGAAAGACTAGATTAACCGAGTCGACCCAGACCCCTAGTGTGCGTAACCCGAACCCCAATACTCACCGCGTGCACGGGTCCCTGCATGCATTCATGCACCATCCTCTCCACCACCTGCCCTCCCACCGTGTCGATCAAATACACCACCACCGCTCCCCCCTTTTTACACTCCCCTCCCTGCTCCCCCTGCACTGGTAGCAACCCCAACTCCCGTACAAACCCCCCACACTCACCGCGTGCACGGGTCCTTGCATGCCTTCATGAACCACCCTCTCCACCACCTGCCCTCCCACCATATCCACCGGATACACCTGTACATTACAACCCCATATAAACCACGTACAAATCCCCATACTCACCGCGTGCACTGGCACTTGCATGCCTTCGTGAACCACCCTCTCCACCACCATCCCTCCCACCGTGTCGATCAAATACACCACCACCGCTCCCCCCTCCTCCCCTCCCGTTCCCGCTCCAGCAGAAGCAGAAGCAGAGGCAGCAGCAGCAGCAGGAGGTGTGGTGGTGGCGAGGAAGAGAAGGCCCTTGGAAAGCAGCTTGAACTGCACACTGCGATCGCCCAGGGCCCTCACTTGGGTGTGCTGGGACTGCAAGGAGGGCGGTGGAGTGGGGTGGTTGGGGATGATAAAAGTGTGTTCGTTTCGAGGCAACGACAGGGCCGAAGGCAGGAAGAGCAGGTTGTTGGAGAGTAGTTTGAGCTGCACGCTGCATGCTGCGATTACCCAGGGCGCGCACTTGTGTGTGCAGGAACAGAAGGCTCTTGGAAAGCAGCTTGAACTGCACACTGCGATCGCCCAGGGCGCGCACTTGTGTGTGCTGGGACCGAGAGGGGGTGGGGCAGGAGGATCGGCTAGAGTTTTACGTTTTGGGTTTAGGTTTTGTTTTGGGATCTCTGGTACTTAAGGATTGGGGTAGTGACAGGGCAAAGACAGGGAACGACAGGGCATGGACTTGCGTGAGCTGGGACTGAGAGGGTTCGGGAGATAGAAGTGTGGGGGTTGATGGGGGATGGAACTCTTTTGGCACAAATAAGGCAAAGAAAATGCACAACCATGCACACCCATGCAAACCCACGCACACCCATGCACACCCATGCACACCCATGCACACCCATGCACACCCACGCAAACCCACGCAAACCCATGCACACCCATGCACACCCATGCACACCCATGCACACCCATGCACACCCATGCACACCCATGCACACCCATGCACATCCACGCAAACCATGCACACCCATGCACACCCATGCACACCCATGCACACCCATGCACACCCATGCACACCCATGCACACACGCCCACTCACGCAGCAATGCACACGCCCACGCAGCAATGGCTGCAAAGACCTCCGAGTCAGCAGGTAGCACCACCCGCCACACCAACACTGCTCCATACACCACACCCTTTCACAAATGTGCAAGCAACACCGTAATGCTCGTCTTGCCAAGTTGGGGTGATTACCCCAGAGCAGCCCGGGGGCCACGTCTTGCCCAATGCCCATTCCACCCAGCTCAGTGCTCACCCACTCAGCCCCACCTTGATTCTCTCTCCCCATAGAATCTTCTGTAATGTAACTCGTACTACACTGCTGCTGCCCCTGACTCGTATACTGTTGCACACGAATATCTCGTCACAAGCCCACTTCACTCTCGCGGCTAGAAACGAGTAACGCGACAAGGAACGCAGGGATGAAGGGAGAGGGGATTGGGTGGGAGGCAGAGCGACAGGTCTTCTGGTGGGAGGCTGTTGGCTTGCTGCACCGCCCGTTCCAGCAAGGGTTCCAGCAAGGGTGACGGTAATGTCGTTGACGGCAGTGGTAGTGACGGTGATGCTGCCTCGACCGCGCTACCCGTTGCTAGCACCCGATGGAGGGCACGATCAGAGCCGCCAGTGCTGCTGGCCACGGCTGTTTTTTTGCGTGTGTTGTCAGCAGCGCTTCCAGCAGCAGCATCGCCAACCGAAGCATGCTCAGCAGAAGCACGGTCAGCAGCAGCAGCATCAGCAGCAGCAACAACCTGCTGCCTCAAACCCGCCCGCCCGTCTTCCCCATAAGCCCCCCATTGCCACGTAACCCCTGCTCCCTCGCGTTCCGCCGCCCTCCCAATCTCCACCCCTGCCGTCCCCGCCAGCATCAGTGCCACCGCGAGCGCGTGCCAGTACAGGGTCACGGGGAATAGCTGTGCGCGGCGCATGGTCGCACGGGGGAAGTCCGCGCGTACGATGGAGGATGGAACCCGCACGTGGCGGCGAGGGAGGGCACGGTGCCTACAAGTAATATAATAATTAGTGGAAATAGTAGTTTCAGATGCCACAGGGAACAAGATATCAGTAGCGCTGGTTTGTGGCGTTAGCAAGTCCCCTGTAGTGCTGTCTGCTGTGTGCTGTCTGCTGTGTGCTGTCTGCTGTGTGCTGTCTGCTGTCTGCGGTCTGCTGTGTGCTTTCTGCTGTCTGCGGTCTGCTGTCTGCTGTCTGCTGTGTGCTGTGTGCTGTCACGCAACAAGCATGATAATCTGCGTGATGTGGATGGGGATCTAGTGTGGTGCCTGCCTGCATTGGCCGCGCGCGCGCATTGGCGAGTCGCCTCGCTGACTCGCCGGTCGGTGGCTGCTCGGCGGCTGGAGGAACGAGGAATGCTTAGTGCTCCTGCTGCTGCTGCCGGCGATCCCCGATGAGAGCAACATGCGCCGTGCCTTCGGGGTGCAGCAGAGGGGCGCAGATGGGGGAACAGCAATGCGGGGAGAGTGAGAAAAGCAGTGGAGGGAAGAGACGGGCCAGAAGCGAAACCCGTGAGGAAGAATTTGGGGATTTAAAACCCGGGGTCCAGGAGTTTCAAAGTTAGGAAGATTGGGACGTGAAATCCAACTGGCAGGCGAGGAGGTTGGGTTCCCGAAAGTGACCAAAACTGTTCGCCCTTCTTTGGGTGTAGGGTGTATGACAGTGAGCAGGGGGGAAATGGGGTGGGTGAAGAGAGAAAGAGAGTGAAGGGGGAAATGAGAAGGTTGAAGGGGGAAAGAGAATGAGCAGGGTGAGGAATTGGGATGTGTGATAGGGGAAAGAGAGTGAGGCAGGAGGAAATGGGATGATTGGAGGGGAAAGGGAGTGAGCAGGGGAAAATGGGACTTTGGAAGGGGGAAAGAGAGTAAGCAGTGGGAAAATGGGCGCTGGGGAAGGAAATGCGCGGGCGCTGGGGAAGGGATTGCGCGGGTGCTGGGGAAGGGAATGCGCGGGTGCTGGGGAAGGGAACGCGCGGGCGCTGGGGAAGGGAATGCGCGGGCGCTGGGGAAGGGAATGCGCGGGCGCTCGGAAGGTATTGCGCGGGCGCTGGGGAAGGGAATGCGCGGGTGCTGGGGAAGGGAACGCGCGGGCGCTGGGGAAGGGAATGCGCGGGCGCTGGGGAAGGGAATGCGCGGGCGCTCGGAAGGTATTGCGCGGGCGCTGGGGAAGGGAATGCGCGGGTGCTGGGGAAGGGAACGCGCGGGCGCTGGGGAAGGGAATGCGCGGGCGCTGGGGAAGGGAATGCGCGGGCGCTGGGAAAGGGAATGCGCGGGGAAGGACCAAGGAGGCAGGCGCGGATGCATTGTGATGGCGACGCGACGTTTGTGCAGGGTCGACGGCCCATTTCCCCGGGGGAGGGTGATTACTGTTGGCTAAAGCCTGCCCATTCCTACCGAGAAGGTGACAGCGGAAGGCGTTGAAAGCGGGGAAAGCGGGGATATGTGGAAGCCACAGGTGTGCGCGGACTCCCTTTCCCACGGTGCGCGCGCAATGGGCTGGTTTCCGTTCCCTCTTCAAAACCCGCGTTTTTTCACGCACCTGGGCCTCGCTGGATGTATCTCTGTCGCTACGGCTGGCTATGATTGCCAGGACTTCCTACCCTCGCGCCGAACGGGCCGGATTTTCGCGCAACAAGTGAAATCGTCGACCAGGAGATGATGGTCCGGTTCACGGGTCAATATGTACGCTATGGCGTAGTGTTCCGCACGCTAGCCCTAATCCGACTCTTTTTCCACCAGTTGGGGGAAATAAAGGTGAGGCATTTATTATAGAGTGAAGTAAGTGGTAGAGGTGGTAGAGCGCGACGCGACATTGAGTAGAATGATAGCTTGACTGGACTGGAAAATCCCCGCTGAACTCAAGTCGAGTTTCATGTTTTGATGAGCGATTGTTCAAGGCGCTGTGAGTGTCGCTTAGTGTCGCTGCTACAGTTGGTTTGGATGTTGTGGCGACTGCCCACAAGGAGCTGAGAGCGTCGCTTAGTGTCGCTGCTACAATTGGTTTCGATTTTGTGGCGAGGCGACTGCCCAAGGGCTGTGTGATTGATGCGCCGACAGTGGTTTCGTTTGGCGACACCATGATTGCCCTCACACCATAACGACGTGTTGCAATTGCCGGTGCACTGCATCGGCTCGGGACGAATGGAAGGCTCCAGGCAAGCGGGAGGCCAACCCCGGGCAAAGAAACGTTTTGAGATAATGAATAATAGAGTTATTTGCTAAGGTTGTATTAGGACAAAAATTATGTTTGCGCGTTTCCGGTACAAAATTTACGGCCTCGTCTTGCCCGGAGCTATTCTGAACCCGTGCCACGAGCCGAGCCGATGCAGTGCACCGCGAATTGCAACAAGTCCTAAAATTGCACATCCCCCTACATTTTTTCTTGTGGGTACCCCTTACAGTTTTTGGCTTGATGCGATGGACACCCAGAGATTGAGGGACTATTAGTAAACAACGGGCAGGTACTCTCTACAATGGAGCTCGCACTTTGTCTTCGGAGTGAAGGGTTTAGTTAGGTTTAAGTTTCTGGTGCACCCCGACGCTTTGCCAAAGTACGTCGGTCTGTTCCTCCAAGAAATTTCAAAATGCTGGTAATTACGCTATAAAAAACGTTTGACCTAGGGTATGTACCCCAGAGTGTGCGATTAGGGGGTATGAAATTATCAAGAACAGGATGTACATAGGCCTATTGAGGTTTTAGAGACCAACACTCGGGATCCTGAGCTGCTCGAATTCTGGCCCTGATTTTCACGAGGGTGACTTTTTTTTCGCCCTTAACGCTCACGGTCGCATGCCAGAATTACAATTTGAAATCCGAGCTACTCATAAAGTCGTACTTTAGCCTATGTAGCCTATGTTAACATATTAGTTAGCAACAAGACGGAGAAAAGTGACGAATTACCTGCAACATACAGGCTTAGCAATTCTAAATCGACTCTACTTGCATATTGGTTATGCAAGGGAGGGGGGGGGGGGGGGGGGTCGTCGGCAATTCCACTATCAGCAGAAAAAAAGCACAACACACACACACACACACACACACACACACACACACACACACACACACACACACACACACACACACACACACACACACACACACACACACACACACACACACACACACACACACACACACACACACACACACACACACACACACACACACACACACACACACACACACACACACACACACACACACACACACACACACACACACACACACACACACACACACACACACACACACACACACACACACACACACACACACACACACACACACACACACACACACACACACACACACACACACACACACACACACACACACACACACACACACACACACACACACACACACACACACACACACACACACACACACACACACACACACACACACACACACACACACACACACACACACACACACACACACACACACACACACACACACACACACACACACACACACACACACACACACACACACACACACACACACACACACACCACACACACACACACACAACACACACACACACACACACACACACACACACACACACACACACACACACACACACACACACCACACACACACACACACACACACAACACACACACACACACACACACCACACACACACACACACACACACACACACACCACACACACACACACACACACACACACACACACACACACACACACAACACACACACACACACACACACACACACACACACACACACACACACACACAACACACACACACACACACACACACACACACACACACACACACACACACACACACACACACACACACACACACAACACACACACACACACACACACACACACACACACACACACACACACACACACACACACACACACACACACACACACACACACACACACACACACACACACACACACACACACACACACACACACACACACACACACACACACACACACACACACACACACACACACACACACACACACACACACACACACACACACACACACACACACACACACACACACACACACACACACACACACACACACACACACACACACACACACACACACACACACCACACACACACACACACACACACACACACACACACACACACACACACACACACACACACACACACACACACACACACACACACACACACACACACACACACACACACACACACACACACACACACACACACACACACACACACACACACACACACACACACACACACACACACACACACACACACACACACACACACACACACACACACACACACACACACACACACACACACACACACACACACACAACACACACACACACACACACACACACACACACACACACACACACACACACACACACACACACACACACACACACACACACACACACACACACACACACACACACACACACACACACACACACACACACACACACACACACACACACACACACACACACACACACACACACACACACACACACACACACACACACACACACACACACACACACACACACACACACACACACACACACACACACACACACACACACACACACACACACACACACACACACACACACACACACACACACACACACACACACACACACACACACACACACACACACACACACACACACACACACACACACAGAGTCAAAACATAATCGGGTCCTTTCTACTAGTGTCTGATAGTGCGAACCGATGGGGCTGGGTCCCTCCTCGCCAGATTGTGTCGGTTGCCGCATGTTCATTGTGGGTATTTGGAAGTGTGGAGGAGGAAATGAGCCATCTTATACTTTTTTTTGCAACTATAGCGATAACATCAACATTTGAAAGTCCTTACAAAACCTGAGTGGATTGAGTGTGGGAGCTGCGAGGGGGATGGAAGCGAGAAGGGAGGAGTTTGACACTCCGCTACTTGCAGGGCTACTTGTACTCTTTACCGGGAAATCAGGGAAGGGCCTCGAACCAGCCTTGAACGAATCCAGGTTAAGACTCCAATTTTTGAAAACCAGCCTGTACAAACAACGGGCTCCCCTCGAATCCTAACATTAAACCCTAAACCTGAAATTGCCTCAGGTGGTCAAGAGTTTGCCCGGAATGTTCGGGCCGATCAGAGGCGATCAACAACTTCAAAAAATCCCCGAGGCCAATTTAACTCAATCAGGGGCAATCTGTTGATTGTATCAATTGATCGCCCCAACTCGATGAACCGCATCCAACACCCCAATCAATCAAAATCACACACAATTAGTCACGATCACTTGATTGCCTAAGATTGGGGATGTCAGTACTGATCCAGCGGCGCAAGTGATGCAATCACAAGCAACCCGATCTGATCTGCTCGGATCAGATCAGTGCAGATCAGAGGCGGTCTGGGCCACGTCCTAAGAGCAAATGCCCATGAATCGACAGCACTGGTTCATACATCTCAACGTAGTTGTCCGTCGACGTAGTCGTCGGTCCCACCTGCCCCCAGACCGGCGTCGACTTGGGAAATCTCACGAGATATATCAGCTGCTTCAGTAGGACTCCCACTCAACAAGGTAACGCTCTCAACCAAACATAGGAAGCTTGAAGGGCATTTATCTCCACAGTAACACTCATTGAGCTCGAACTCCTCCGACGCAGGCCACGTGTCCAGATCGCCACCGTGGTAACTATCATGCATACGTGGACAACATTATTGCATGTGCATCCGGAATTCCATGCTAGGTTCCAACCAAACTGTACATTGTACATATAGAGTTTTGAAACTGCAAAAAGAAAACAGATTGTCCACGGATACTGCACAGAACATACAATTTGTGCACGAAACAAATATCAACATCGTCACTCGTCGAAAATTCCCACCAAAAGGGCTTATAGAGAAGGGGCTCCACCTACCGGGCATAGGAAGGAGCTACTTGTTTCATAAAACAGGCTCTGTTAGCACGGGCTCTCAATCCGGAACATGGAACATCTACATGCAAACTGGGGCCTGCTATTTTCACTCAGAAGCGCCTCAAATGTTCACAGTTGCAAGCAAGTTGCTAGTTTCACTCCCCAAAATGTACAAGTAATTGACGCGCATGAAACGCTTGATAAGTTGCCGTAAGTATTCCTAAACCATGGTTGGATGTGTTTTTACGAGTTATTTATGAAAAGTGCTTCTAGGTGAACGGTACATAGTTATTTAAGATGCGTTCAAGAAGCGTTCAAAAAAAGAAGATATATAAGGTTCCAAATCA